TTATTATTATTTATACCCCGCCTATCTAGTCATTTCGACCACTCTAGGCGGCTTACAACATAAAACATAACAAGTTCAAGAAAAATTTATAACAAAGTTTATAATTATGAAAAGGGGCTTATTCAGCTAGACCAGCCAACAGGACAGCAAACAAGGCCCTTTGCAGCCAAATGTGAAAATGCTGCCAGCTGCTGCCAGACTAGCTGGCAGTAATCCTAAACCCACAGCAGAAGAGGAACGGACTAAAGTGGAGAGAACCACATAAAAGCAGACGTTGGATAGGACACACATGGCAATGACCAAGGACTCTCCAGGAGTAAAGAAACTGTGCCAGCCAGAAGCTTGGGATTCCCTGAAGTCAACTCGTGTTACTGAAAACCAGTTATGCCAGTCCGGGAAGGCAACTCATGCCCATTTATCCGCCCATCCATCCAAGGAACAAGGGCTTTGTAAGGCTACCGTGTGAATTTTCTAGCTGGAGGTACAAAAGCGAGATGCCAGAGGTGAACAGATGGGGCACAAAGCTCAGCCCCTTCTTTCTCTCTGCTTCAGGTTGGGCTCTAGAGGCCACGGACAGATGTCTGATATCAGGAACTGGCTGGATCAAGGGCAACGAAAATGTTCAGTCCAGAATACAGTGTGGGTCCTGACATTGCCCAAGGGAATTGGCCACAAAATTGAGGTTCGGTCTCGGGAGATGGAATCGCTGCCTATTTAAACTTGGCCAGGCTTGCAGCTCGGGGAGGCAATAAGGTCTTCTAGTGTTATTGTTGACAGACATGTTTCAACTACTACAGGACTCATTCCCGTTAGCAAGCAGGGGATGGACATGGCAGGTACACCACTCTCCTGGTGTCAGCCAGAGGGCTAGCCTTGAGCTGAAAGAAACAAACTCACTGCTCTACAATATAAATAGCCAAGTTCTAAGCTTTTACTTCTGGTCTTTAGACAGTAGTCAACATAAACATTTCCTCTCCAGAGACAGGCAACAACCAACACAACCGGAATCCCAGTAATGTGGTAATGGTGGGGGATTCCAGTGATGTTACTTGTTTTGGCTTTAGCTCTGGAAATATGCTGGCTTCACCTAGCATTAAGAGCAGATCTGTAAATTCTCTCTAGTATTTGCCGGTTGAGGTATGCCTGCTGATGTTCTGTGGTTGTGCAGCTGAATTATCTGCAGTAGCCATTACTAACCTCATATGATGGCAAAAGTTATACCTATTTCCTTTGTCACACACCATGCATCAGGCAAGAGCCCTGGATATTCAGCACCCACATCTCCTTAAGAAACCTAATAGCCTCATACTTTTGTGAGGTTAAAAAGATTGGTAAAAGCCAAACAGCAGCATGGATGTTAAGTGACGCTGAGATTTAAAATAAATGTCACAGAGAACTCTGTAACATAGAATCTCATGTAGTCACTCTCAGAGAGCAGCAGCCTATGTGGCAAAGAGGGCAAACTTTGCACGGTTTTGATCTTGGACCCAAGTTACAGTTCAAGTGTAAAAATAGTCCTGGGTTTTCAAGACATTGTATTCTCGAAGGCTTTCACGGCCAGGATCTGATGGTTATTGTGGGTTTTTTGAGCTCTTTGGCCGTGTTCTGAAGGTTGTTCTTCCTGACATTTTGCCAGTCTCTGTGGCTGGCATCTTCAGAGGACAGGAATAGGAACTCTGTCTGTGCTTTGTTGCTGTTTGTTGGATAGTTGGGTATTTATAGCTGTGGGGACAGCTTCTGTCATTTTCAGGAGATTGGGTGATTATGGTGATCAGCATTTTTTTGTTGTGGATGTATTGGTGCGATAAAGGGGAGAGATTATCTGTCACTGTGATTGATGGGTGTTGTTAGCTGGTCTTTTGTGTGCAATGATCCCTGGTCTTTGTGGCTGGGGAGAGTTCGTTGACCTTTTGCAGGCTGTATTTTTCAGTGCTGGGAGCCAGGCCTTACTGAGTTTCAGACTTTCTTTTTTGTTGAAGCTCTGCTGGTGTTTATGGATTTCAATGGCTTCCCTGTGCAGTCTAACATAATGATTGCTAGTGTTATCCAGTACTTCAGTATTTTGAAATAGAATTTCATGTCCAGCTTGTTTTAGGGCATGTTCAGCTACTGCTGATTTTTCCGGTTTAGTCTGCAGTGTCTCTCATGTTCTTTGATTCTGGTGTGAATGCTGTGTTTTGTGGTTCCAATACATACCTGTCCACAACTGCAAGATATCCGGTATACTCCTGCAGTGGTGAGGGGGTCCCTTTTGTCTTTTGCTGACCGTAACATTTGTTGTATTTTTGTGGTGGGTCTGAATACTGCTTGTAGGTTGTGTTTTTTCAAAAGTTTTCCCATGCAGTCCGTGACCCCTTTGATGTATGGCAGAAATATTTTATTTGTGGGTGGTTGTTTTTCCTCTTCAGTTTGGTGTTGTTTCCTTGGTTTGATGGCTCTTTTGATTTCATTCTTCGAATAGCCATCCGCCTGTAGGGCCCAATTCAGGTGGTTGAGTTAGGTGCTGAGAAATTGAGTTTCACAGTTCTGATTTGCACAGTCTACCAGTGTTTTCAAGACATTGCTTCTTCACAGGTTATGTTTCAATTTTTCATCAGCCCAGCATGGCTCTTTCATGCAAAAAAGGTTGTGGTCCTGAGTGGCCAGTTTATTCCCATGCCCTTCTTCATGTAGTTTGCCCATGCACTGCCTCTTTTTAAAGGGGGTATGGAAGGGAGATAACAAGACTTTGGAACTACCTCCCACAGGAAGCGAGGCTGGCCCTACCTTTGCTGTCCTTCAAGCAAGGACCTTTCTCTTCAAGCAAGCTTTCCCATGACTAGCTGTCTGAGTGGGGTTTTTAAATGGATTGTTGTGCCTTACTGCTTTGAATATGTTTTTGATGTTGCTTTTGTTTACTGTTTTTAGTGTGGAATTATTTGATCTTTTGTAGTATTTGTATACTTACTGTTTTTAGCCTTAAATATTGTCTTTTAATGACGTAAGCCATTTCGGGTCCTTTTAAAGGAGAAAGACAGGATCTACAGTAAATATTTTAAATAATTTTAAAAATTATAATTAAGTTATAAAAAGAAATCCTTACGCTGGCACATTATATAAGAGGACAATTCACAGCCCACAAGCAAAAGGGACCACATTCCTCATCCCTGCTCCAGATTACACATATAACAAAATCAGGAGTGACTGACCTTAAGAGTCATTAATTTTGAATCTCAGTTCCTAGAGACCCTACTCAGCATGCCAACAATAAGGCTTATGGGATCTGTAGTCTAAAACATCAACAAGATTCCCAGTGTGGTGTAGTGGATAGTGTTGGACAAATACTCTACAGAGCAGGCTTCGAATCCCCACTGAGCCATGGAAACTCACTGGGGGAGTGAAACTTGTAAAACCATTCCTTAAATATCTCTTACCTTGGAAACCATATTAGGGTTGCTGTAAGTTGGTTCTGTGACAGCACAAAACACACACACAATAAGCAAACTGCATAAGGTCAGCTCTAATGAACTTGATCTATGGCTTCTTTCAAACCTATGTGATCTGGCATCACAAGGCGAATACATTTCTCGAGAAATTCGATGTCCTGTTTCTCTGTTTCAATTTCTGAGTGTAAAGGGTAGCATCCTATGAAACCTGCATCCATGAGTGACAGCATCTTAGTTTTATTAAAAAATTAAAAAAAACACATTTCATTGTATTATGCAAAATCTCATCCACTTTAACTTTAGTCAGTGCAACACACCATTTTTTTACAATGGAAAAATACCTTAGAATACAGATTTCAGGCAGTTTATTAAAGGCCAGTTCTGTCACAGGTAGAAAGGCTGTTTTTCAAAAAACAAACAAAATATCAAAGCTTGTGAAGTTCAGGCAGCTGCTACTTTAGATGTGCCATCTTCTTGCTCATTAAAAAAGATAATTAGTCTTGAGTCATTCAACACAGCAGCAGGAGGAAAGGATGGGATGCATGAAAACTGCAACATTTTCAGTAACAGGGGAAAAAAGCTGTTTAGGGGTTGGAACTGCACAGCAGTTTGGTGAAGAGACCAAACTGCATCTAAAGCCTATAGTCCCAAATGTTTGTTGCTGCACTTATTATTGGTCTTCTTTCACCCGCCTCCCTCTCATACCACAGTTAGGGGAATCTGGCTATGTGGTCTGTGCAACACTAGTTAAACCATCAGCCTCTAAGGAGTGAAAAGTCTCTACCTTTTAAGGTTCTTCCTCAACTACGTGAATGAACTTTGCTCACTAACTGGTAAGGTTTCCCATGGGTATTTATGCTGGGGCCGTGTTGATCCACCACACTGTCTGGCAAAGTTGCCTGGATTTTGTGGATGATCTCATCTTTAAATTTTATCCCACTTAAATCGAGGTGTCGTAGTTGGGGCAGTGCTTGGCAAAAGGCCAGGATGGCTTCTGGGGAAAGTGCAATGCAATGTGCCAGAGAGACGTCCTCCAGGAGAGACAAGCTGCTCAGGCAAAGGAGACCAGCATCTGTCAGATGGAAACTACCCCCAAGGTCTAAAGTGTGCAGGCTTTTCATGTGGCGCCCAACGAAGTGCGTGGCTGAATCGCCAATGCTACAGCATTGCAAGGTGAGGTGTTCTAGCTTTCCAAGATGCAGTGAGGCTCTCTGGATCCCTGCATCTGATATCCGATAGGTGTTGGACAGGACAAGACTCTTGAGAGTGCCTTGGACAGAGATGTTGAAGAGGTGCTGGTCGGAGAAGGAAGGGACATCCCTGATGACAAGATGCTGGATCTTTGGGTAGGTCCACAAGGGTTGAGAGCCTTCAGGCACTTTGAACCACCCAGAAGGGATCTCACAGAGGCTCAGCTCTAGGGTGGTGAGAGAGGAGGGGATATGTTCATAGAGGAGGGAACGGAGGTCTGTAGCTGTCAGGCACAGGTGGCAGAGGCTAGGGCACTGCTTGCCCAGGGCCTGCATCAATGCTGGAGTGAACACTTCCCGCTTCCGGACAGAATTAATGTATCCCTGTGCCTTCAGGGTCCGCAGGCTGCCTTGGAGATGGTTGCGCAACAGATGCCAGAGAGTCTTGGAAGATATCTGAGCAATAAAGAAAAGTGAAAAGAAAAAAAAAGACTTGCATTAAAAGCCACAAGAGTGACTGTGATAAAGCAAGAGTGAATTGAGCTTGAATGCCAAACTGCCATTGGCTGGCTACCAGCATAGCATACTGTATATGTCCTGGTTATGTACAAAGCTATGGCTCCCCCAGGAAGTAATGCAGTTGTAAATTACTGAGGGTGTTGACAAATCTTGGTTAGAAAATCCTATCCTTCTGAAAGAATTACATAATACAATAATATACAACATTATATAATAATATAGCCAAAAACCATAGGTAAGATAAAAGCGTGTTGTGTGCTTCAAGTTAAGGCATTATTATCCAATATGGTAAATGACTCTAAACCTTTTGGAGAGATAAAGAAAACACAGTACAGGCCAACAGGAAAATCCACTAGCCAATTCAAGATAGCTGCGATGTGTTTTGGGACACACGCTGGACTGCAGGTCAAGTTCCAAAAAAGGCAAAGGAATTGGTAATCTAAACATGAAAACAACAGGTCTGTGTTCAGCCCTTTAGTAAGCCCTACAAATGCTACAGTATGGAAGCCTCGTGTTAAGGGAGCCACCTGTAATACTTCTGAAGGGAAAGCATGTGGTCGTACAAAGCATGTGGGAAGAAAAGGGAACAAAAATGCAAACCTGTGTTATGTAACCTGAAGTAAGTATGCCTCGGTTAAGTGGGATTACTTAGTGGGTTTACGACGGTAGCATATCACATTTGTGAAAGAGCCTTAGTCCCTTGCCTAGGCTTTCCTTAGGTCAAAAAACATTTGCACTATTATTTTTTTAATATTTGACTAATTTATACATCAAAAGGCCACGACCTATTCATCAGATTGCACTGGTTTGACATCCCAGATGTTATGTTTGACACTTTTATTTTATTTATTAATTTATTTGTTTTACATACCGCCCCTTTGGCAGCCAGGGCCACTCTGGGCAGGTTACAACAAATAGGCAAGCAACACAGTAACAAAATAGTACAATATCAATACATTTGGGGGCACAAATCAGATATCGTAAGATGCAGTGAGAACAAAAATAAATTACAGTTAAAAGCATAAAAATATAAAAGACAAGAAGCACGGTGGTGAGATGGATGATATAATATCAAGCACTGCTGTATAATGGTGTTGCTTGTTCAGGGAAGACCTGCTTAAATAGCCAGGTTTTTAATAGCTTATTGAATGTGCCTGGTGAAGGGGCCTGGCGAACGTCAGGCGGAAGAGAGTTCCACAGTTGTGGGGCTACCGCCAAGAAGGACCAACTTCTAGTACCTGTTTTTCAGGCCTCTCTTGGGGTCAGAACTCTCAGCTGCCCTGCCTGGGATGATCTGACAGGGAGGGCAGACCTAACTGGAAGGAGACGCTCAGCCAAATATCGAAAACTAGCACTGAAAAGTCTGTCCTCCTATGACTGGCTGTTAAAGAAAATACCAGAAAATGGAGGGTGAGCAGCCATACCTTGTAGGAAGTCAGGTCCACATGTCTCCACAGGAACTTGTCCCGCACCAAGCGATTCCATCGTCTACAAATCCTGCAGAAATGATATCTGATGAGGAAACCCTTCTCCTCTGAAGAGGCACACAGACAGAAATCCTTGTAATGGCGAGGACCGATCAGCACAGTAGAAACAGAGCTTTTCATGAAGGGAATTGGCTAGAGATGTACGTGAGGCACTGGCTGAAATCCTGTTGCTTAGCATAGTAAGTTGCAACTAGAATGGGCCCACTGAATCAATGGGGATTTGGTCAGCCAACTCCATAGTAAGTCCCACGAATTCAGCGAGCCTACTCTCGTGCAACTCACCACGCTGAGACACACGCCCCAAGGTGATCTGCCCGACCTGTCAGATCCTCCCAGACTAGGCTCCTCCATGCTGCTATTCTGAGGGAGGCGTGGAAGTCTTTATTTATTTATTCTGTTTGTAACCCCCACCCCCAAATCTGGTCAATGCAACCACTTAGTCTTCTACTACGACACGCTGGACCTTCTTCACGGTGACACTGACTCCATGGCAGCAGCTGCTGGTGGAGCTACGCCTGGCACCCTCCCTGCTCACGTTCAGAAGACACCTTAAAACACTGCTCTTCCAGAATGATCCTGCCTGATGCTGTGCCCGTTTTCACTCTCACAGAGAAAAGTGCCTTTGTATTGTTGCTGTTCTGATGTTTTTATAGTTTCACACGTGGTGTTAAACTGGCTGCTATTCTGCTTATTGTGAACCGCCCAGCACAGTGCATCCCACTAACGGGGCGGTATATAAAGCTAATGAGATAAATACAGTAAAGACATAATAAACGATTATGCATTCTGATGTCACTATGATAACAACGGCCAAACCTACTATATTTTAACAAGCCAGCGGGTCAGCCTCGCACTCAAACGAGCCCTCCCACCCCGGAGCTCTCCAAGATCCCGGGAAACGTGGGGGGCGTAGATAGAACGCAGAAGGGATGGAACCATGGTGGGAACGGGGGGGGGAGAGTCGGTTGGTTGGTTGGAATGTACCACTAGCAGCAAAGGGGAGGCTAGAATCAAACCCCCTACCTGGCCCCACCCAGTCGGTCACGGGGGGGCAGCCACGCCAGAATCATGAGCAGCAGACAGTCTGGGAGGTCGGAGAGACTCGGGGGCGACCGGGCTTCCCTCTCCCGTTTCTCCATCCCCCTCAGTATTGGTTGCTTTCCCCCCACCTCCCTCTCTATTGTCCTTCTGGAGGAACGGAAACCCAGAATCAGACTTCCGCTTCCGGGGAGGCTATTTCCGTTTTTCGGGGCAGCGGCGCTTTCGGCGGTCGTCGACGCTCCGCTGAGCCCGGGTGGGTTCGGGGTTTCTCCTCCCCCGCTTTTGTGAACCTTTGCTGGGGTAGGTGGCGGTGGCGGGACGGCGGGGATTCTTCCGTCTTCCCTGCCCCGAAAGAGGGGCGGGAACACCTCTTATTCCCCCATGGGGGAAGGGGGAGCGGAGGGTCTACCTTCTCTTCTACCCGGGTTTATTAACCCCACATTATGAAACGAATGGAGGCGGAAAGGGGGTTTTTTGCCCCAGGGAGTCGTGTGCGCGTGCGCGCCCCACTTCTTATTATGTGTCTCTCAACTTCTGAGTATTTTCCACCTGAAAAACCCTGAAAAGAATTGTCGTAAGTCAGAACTGACTTGATGACATATGATTATTTAGCTGACTGGATGGCTCAGTGGTTTAGGCATTTGGCAGTGGAGCCAGAGTTTGGGAGTTTGATTCCCCACGGTGCCTCCTGTGAGCAGAGCCAGCCTGTGTGGCCTTGGGCAAGCTGCACAGTCCCAGGATGCCCCCCAGAAGAAGGGAGTACCTTCTGAGTATTCTCTACCTGGAAGACCCTGAAAAGGGTTGTCATAAGTCAGAATTGACTTGATGATGGTTATGATTATGTAGAGAACATTTCAGCTTGCATAATAAGCTGTGGCTGCCAAAACATCCCCTTTTGTACAACTGTTAAGAGCTCACCTCATTTGGGTGTCTTTGGAGTTGGGGGGCTGATCCCCCTGTTTGTGTCCCTTACTGTGTAACTTGTGTTTGTTGCTGGTTCTGTTTTTTCACAATGTGCTTTATGTTCAATAGCAAAGTGCATGATTACATAGTTTTCTTGTCTTCTTCTTTCAACAGTACCTACAAAGGCTGGAGGCTAGAAGTCTCCTTACCTCCCGAGACTCCATTTTCTGTGCACAGCTTGCTGCTGACTCCAGATCGGGATGATTGAAGTAGTTTGCAATGACCGTCTGGGCAAAAAAGTGAGAGTGAAGTGCAAGTATCCAAACCACAAAATATATGGCTTATGCTTACTTATTAGGAGAGGCTGAAGAGCATCTTTTTGTTCAACTGCTGCTTTTTGTTTGTGATGACATACAATAAAAGGGTACTAGACAAGAAAGACATTTGAAATTAGCACCATTTAGTCAGGATGACAGTGGGCTATAACACATTTCCCCATAGATTATTTTTAGAGGTAAGTCTAACCTGCTGTTTCTTATGGATACATCCTTAAAGAAGTGGGAAGAATGTGAACTCTTATGCACAATGGAGTACTTAGTGTTGTTGTTGTTGTTTAGTCATGTCCGACTGTTTGTAACCCCATGGACCAGAGCACACCACACCCTCCTGTCTTCCACTGTTGGGTCAAATTCATGTTGGTAGCTTCGGTGACACTGTAGTTTGCAATGACCGTCTGGGCAAAAAAGTGAGAGTGAAGTGCAAGTATCCAAACCACAAAATATATGGCTTATGCTTACTTATTAGGAGAGGCTGAAGAGCATCTTTTTGTTCAACTGCTGCTTTCTGTTTGTGATGACATACGATAAAAGGGTACTAGACAAGAAAGACATTTGAAATTAGCACCATTTAGTCAGGATGACAGTGGGCTATAACACATTTCCCCATAGATTATTTTTAGAGGTAAGTCTAACCTGCTGTTTCTTATGGATACATCCTTAAAGAAGAAGTGCGAAGAGTGGGAACTCCTATGCACAATGGAGTACTCAGTGTTGTTGTTGTTTAGTCATGTCCTTGTCATCGCTTTCCTCCCAAGAAGCAGGCATCTTTTAATTTCGTGGCTGCTGTCATCATGAGTACTCAGTAGAGTGGATTAAACGGAATTAAGTTTTTTTAATGACTGTTTAGGTTAAGGAAATCCTACAGTTCTTAATAGCAGTGATGCTTGTGTCGTCTTTCCCAAGTCAATGAGTCCAATTCCCTACTAAAGCAAGAAATATAAGTTTAAACAGTTCCTGATGGATGGACATCTGATTCCCAATTAAAAAACTTCCAGTGAAGGGGAATCCATAACCTTTTGAGATAATGTATTCCACTGCTGATTAGCTGTTACCATATTTATGTTTACTTAAGATCTGGTTTCTTGTTAATTTATTAATTTAAGTCCTACCCTCTGGAGCAACTGAAAGCTAGCTTTGGCAAGGTCTCTGCTCTGCTTTTTAAGATGCTGTTGAGTTTTGTCATCGCTTTCCTCCCAAGAAGCAGGCGTCTTTTAATTTTGGGGCTGCTGTCACCATGAGGAGTACTCAGTAGAGTGGATTAAAAGGAGTTAAGTTTTTTTAATGACTCAGTTTAGGTTAAGGAAATCCTACAATTCTTAATAGCAGTGATGCTTGTGTCGTGTTTCCCAAGAGTCAATGAGTCCAATTCCCTACTAAAGCACGAAATATAAATTTAAACAGTTCCTGATGGATGGGCATCTGATTCCCAATTAAAAAACTTCCAGTGAAGGGGAATCCATCACCCTTTGAGATAATCTATTCCACTGCTGAATAGCTGTAACCATATTTATGTTTACTTAAGATCTGGTTTCTTGTTAATTTATTAATTTAAGTCCTACCCTCTGGAGCAACAGAAAGCTAGCTTGCACTGTTTTCCATGAGAAACCCTTCAGATATTTCAAGATGTCCTTTGTGTTCTTAGTTCTCCCTTTTCCAAGTTAAGCATAGTAAGCTCTTTTAATTGGTTTTCAGCTTTCTCAGCATCTTGGTTGCCCTCCTCTAGACATGCTGCAGTTTATCAATAGCCCTCTGTGTGTCTGCATATATGTATGAGCACAGTGTCTCTGTAGTGACATTTTTTTTACCGAACAACACTTTGATCATGCCACAGGGCCTTAACTTATCTGTAGATGCAGACTTGCAGCTAGGAAATGGCTGGCTGCCTTTTGGTGCTGCTCCTTTTACTTGATAAATTGTGAGTGCAAAGAACGACAATATGATTCTGTTCTCTGTTTCTCTGTATTATTGAAATCAGGAGAGACAATGCACATACTGAACCTGTGCTTCCATCTGGTTACGGGCTGGATCAAGGCTGAGAAATTCAGTCTGACTCTTTATAAGAGAAAGATCCTGAGAATGAGTGGTTTGTGGATCTTGAGCTGTTTACCTGTACTGGAGAGGTTCACTCCTGAAGGAACCAGTATATAGTTTTGTTGCGTTCCTGGTTGCTACGTGACTTTAGTGGCCCAGAGCTCCCACAATTTACTTTGAAATGGCAATTATTACTCTTTTTGGATAACAATTACGGTAGTTGAGTCATGGTGGCTCATGCACTTGCAACATTAAGGTTTGATGACAGTGCTACAGTCTCTATGAGATTGACCTTGCAATGATCTTGAAGGCAACACTAATGTGGAATGTAGCAGCAAAGGTAGCCCTGTGTTATAACACAGTATGTACAGTGGTGCCCCACAAGGCGATGTTAATTTGTTCCATTGAAATCGCTGTTTTGCTAAAACATCATCTTGCGAAAAGCGTTTCCCCATTGGAATGCATTGAAATCCGTTTAATGCGTTCCAGTGGGGAAAAATCGTCGTCATCCAGCGAAAATCGCCCATAGGGAAGCCATTTTGTGAAGCGCCGATCAGTTGTAAAATCTCTGTCTTGCGAAAAATGGAAGCTCCGATCAGCTGTAAAAATCGTTGGTTGTTAAAATCGCTGTCTTGCGAAAAACGGAAGCTCTGATCAGCTGTAAAAATTGTCGGCTGGGGGTGGATGGAGGGAACATAAGGCACCTGTGGCGCCACACTAATTAATTTTGCTGAACCGGGCTGAATCAATTCGTGCCTATCACTGTGTATTTAACATCATGTAAGCCTTCTTGGTAGTGATTACTACTTGCAGGAGACAGAAAATGAAAGTTTTTGAATGTCCTGGAAATATATGTTCATACATGCTTTTCCTATTAAAATTGATTCAGATAACCTCATGCTGGATTATATTATATTAGTATCTTAATGGTCTTTTTATTATTGTCTTTGTGGAAACAGCCTTGAGATTTTATATTAAGTACTTTATAAGAATAACTTAAAAATCAGGAACTGGTGGACACTTGGTGGTTCTTTAGCAATCAGTTTTTCCTCCACCAAGACACCACAGTCTACTTTATGTCTTATGTTGGTATTTGGAAAGGGAGGATTGGTCTAAGGTGTAGCAGGGGATAATAGATGGATTTGTTTCAGGGAGCACAAAACTTTTAGGTGGCTGAAAGAAAGATTAGAGGATACATAACGATCATTTTTCTTCAGATATTTGCTCAAACATACTGAGATTTAATTTTTCATTCTGAGGCACTTGAAAGTGAATATGTTCCTGGATTACATGTGGTTAAATATAACCCACGCTGAGTTTTTTGAAATAGCAAAATGTATTTTTCTTAAGAACTGGGAATATAGATCTCCAAACCTCCCCATTATGTGTGTGTATATATGATATGTGAAGTACATTTGTGCACAACCCCAATATTGTATTTTCAGGTATTGAACTGATTGAGGAAAGTGAGTAAAAACATGGTAGATTGAACAGTTATTCTGTGCAGGGCCCTGGCTGAGATACTTTTTCCTTAATTGATGCCACTGCTCAGCTGTGATGACACCATTCGGGACCTGAAAAAGCTCATTGCTGCCCAGACTGGTACTCGGTGGGACAAGATTGTGCTAAAGAAATGGTGAGTAGCAGTGAGACTAGGACTGCCTAAAAAGTCCCAGGTTTGAACAATAATTAAGAACAAGTCATCATACATGGAATAGAGATGGGCACAAACTTTGGTTTGGAGGTTCATGGCGGTTTGTACTCATGGCACCACAGGGCCATGTGTTCCCTTCCCCTGCCTCCTTGGTCTACGACTCACTCACCAGTCAGAGTGTGCTTCTCTCCTCCTCCTCTTGGCTATTCAACCATTGCCCAGCAGGAGCACGAGCTTGCCTGTCCCACCTCCTTGTTTGAGTGGGTGATCCGCCAAGGTGATGGGGCAGGGGAGCCCGTGCTCCTGCTGGAGACTGGTTGAAAAGCCAGAGAAGAGGAGAGGCGCAAATGCCAGCTGGTGAGTGGGGGATCCAGCCAGGGAGGGTGGGGAAAAGGAACCCGCATGAACCTCCAAACTGAGGTTCACGCCATCTCTAGTAAAAAACAATACTGTATAATTTAAAACTATTTTTAAATCATTATCCAGAAATAATCAAGAAAAGACTATGGTTCTGAATATTATATAAATGCAAGAATAGGCAATACTTTTATTAGACCACTAAAATCAAATAGCAAATTTTGTGGATAAAATTCCACTTCAGGCTTGTGCATCAATATCTGTGGATAATGCAGAAAAACTAAAAGGTTCCCAAAATTCATGGCAGATATCTGCAAGGTCTGCTTGAGGTGAGTTCAGACTGAAAATTACATAATTATGTTTCCTTTTCGTGTTGTTAGAAAACACATTTATTGCTTCTTAGCCCAAGTGATACGGAAAGCAGTCCACAATAATTGGAAACAATATGCAGCAGTGACCAAAAGAAAAGGTGGGGGAGGCATTTGGCAGTAATAATGATGCAGCTTCAAATAATAAATTGCTGGACATATTTTTTGCAATATACCCTTGAAATAAGAGGGAGGGAATGGGGATAGGGCTTCCTACTAAAGAGACTGCTGTCTCAATAGTGCTGAAACCTCTTTCTGTCTGAGGTTTGAATTCTTAGGATTGTGTTCCAGTAGTAGCAGGGTGAGGCCAAATCACATATTTAGCAATTTGATGAGAACTTAATTTTCCCCTAGAAACATTATTTAAATAGAGAGTATTTTGAGTTTGGCAATAAAAGCTCTAAACTGTTAGCGAAACTTGCTCAGGTAAGCAAGGCTAAAGTAAATATAGAGGTGATTCAGAACAACATGAGTAAAAGGTGTAACAAAATGAAAGAAAAATTACTAGTTCTTCAGGAATTAAATACACACACACACACAAAAACAAACAAACAAAGCAATCATCTAGGATAGGCCAATTCTACTATTAGGAGGGGTGGGGATTTTTTGGTTAAGTATGCTACAGCTGGATAATTGGACAAAAGAATGGTAAAGTAAGCAAAGAGAGGGAAGATCATTGACAAAATCTGAGGAAATTATTGAAAAAAGAAATGAGAAGTCTGTGAAAGTTGAAAAGCCACTGTTGTAGTGGCTTAGCATTTGATTTTTCCACCAAGCTCATTGTTCCTGTCCATGAAACACAGTTTAGTTCTACACAGCATATTAAAAATTGAGACACCCTCTTACCCCAAACATTGACTTCACAGTGGAAGAACATTGCAAGCTGGAAGACACACCTAGTTGATATAGAGTAGGGATTGATGAATTGACCTTGAATATCTGCAGATAGCAGCATCATACAGAAATATTATATTGATAGTTTGAATTGCACCAAGGAGACTGGTGAAAAATGCAATGGTGTTAACATAATCCAGTTGTGCACTTTTATTCCTGTTACAAACAGGCAACCACAGCTATACAGGTTGACTGTTCTGCATTATATTGGAAAATAGCTGCCTATAAGGCTCTTGATTTATTTTTTATTTTTAGCTATCCCATTGGTTGCAGATACTTGAATGGTGTCAATGTAATGTTAATCTTTGTTTAAAAAACAACAATTGACTGCTTTGTTTTTTTAATGTTGTAGGTACACAATTTTCAAGGACCACGTGTCGCTGGCAGATTGTATCCTTAAACAGTCCTTGGTTGACCATGAAATATGGTCGTGATTTGGTGTGTTAGTGGGGAGAAGAGACAGTAGTTTCCTAAAATTGTTTTCATATTCAGAATCCCTCCCCAGTCTTGTTAATTGGACTATGATTATGGACTGAAATCCAGTAGTAAGTGGCAACTAGACTAGGCCCACTGAAGAATGGAACTTATGGAGAAGTTGATTCACCAAATTCCCATTGATTCAATGGCTCTACTCTAGTTTCAGTGTATTACTGGATTTCAGCCATGATTTAGCAACATTTTAAATCCTCAGTTCAAAGTTGCGTTAATGTCCTAGTTTGTCCTCAAGTGGTTTATTGTTTGGCTAAAATGGGAACTATAATAGAAAGCTCCCTGTTTGTCTGTTGACCTGTACAAAGCAAAAAGACTGTGGATGCAGCCAAAAGGTTTGCTGATCCCTAAGGTAATCTTAATGTGCTTGCTAGTGCTTTACTGGTTTGGATGAAAAAATCTGGGTCTACATTGTAAACAATTATGGCTGAAATCTAATTTGTAGTCCCAACTAGTATAGGTCTGTTGCTTCCATTGCTGAATAGTGAACCAACACTTTTATAAATCTCATTTATTCAATGGATCTAGTCTACCCGAGCCTACTAGTTAGTTTCAGATGAATGTGTGAAGCGGTTCTAAAACTGCCCTGGTAATATATGTTTACAGAGCAGGTGTTTAGCATTTGGAGTAGAAAACCTGTGGTTCACCCCTAAGCCCCAGCCAGCATTACTAATATAACAGATGATGGATTGTATTCCAGCAATGTCTGGAAGGATTGTCGCTTCTTTGTAGAGCATGTGCTTTGCATGCAGAAGGCCTCAGGTGCAATCCCAATCATCTTCAGGTAGGGCTGGAAAGAAAGGTCTGACTTGGTACGATGGTCACCAAAGGTCTGATTCAATATAAGGCAGCTTCCCATGAAGGTCACAAGTTGCCTACTTCTGGTTTAGTGTTAATCTGTTGGAACATGCATTTTCATAGTCAAAACATGAAGTATAAAAGAAAAGCATCTATGATAATGTTCCAAAAAATGATTATTTTAGTGTTATGGCAGACCTTTCCAAATTTACATACCAAGTTCACTTATAGTTACTAAACCAATATTTTCTAATGGGATTCACCTTAACTCTTTATTTTCAGATGAAATCCACGATGGCATGAACTTAGAATTATATTACCAGTAGTTTGGTTGTTGCCGATTTAACAATTTCTGTGGTCTTTTTTCTTTTTCTTTCTTATGACCTCATGTAACACAAACTATGGATAGTTTAAATTGTGGCATGGCTTTTGGGTAGCAACATTGTACTGTTGGTGGCAATAAAACAAAAACTGTATTTACGCTGTGTTTCCTCAACATGGTTTTCTAAATGTCAGTGTTTCTAATAAATGTGACCAGACAATATGTGTCCACTTGTGTCTTCAAGGCAAAGAAACCTTAAGCAAGATGTCTTTAAAAATGATAGTGAGAATATTATAGTGCAGGTCTCCGGATAGATGTACACACAGCAGAAGGTGTTAGCTGACAAAAACTTGCTAGTTAGTCATTTGGTGACCATCAACATTTTAATGGGGGAAAAGAACCAAATCTCTTCAAATTTATAAAAGCTTCTCTTATTACAGGGGAATGGGGAACTTTGGGCTTTGAAATGTTTTGGTTGACAGCTGCTAACAGCCTCACTTAATATGACTAGCAGTAAGACACTGTCAAGAAATTCCTGCAGAGTGCGGACGGCATACAAGTCAAATTGATAAATAAATAAATAAGAGTTGTAATCCAAAATGTGAAGAGGGAGGCATAAATGGGTGGTAGAAGCTCCTCACTGCTCTCTTAGTATTTTTTGATGAAAAAATCCTTAGTAACATCCAGAAATATACAGATGGTATAAATACTGTACAAGGAGTAATGACAGCATACTTCACACAGTGTGATTTAATACACAGGTGAGCAATCTGTAGCTTACAGGAGGATGCCATGCTTTTCATCCAAAATATTCAAACCAAATGGATTTCAGTTAGCCAGACTAGGAAATATCTTTGTCAGCCACCAACAAACACCAAATGAGGCTAGCCTACAAGGCAGCTGCACACATTCAGTACATACACAGTTCACAGCCACTGGATGTTGTGATGGCATTAACTAAGTTTTAGAAAATTCATACAAACGTGGAATGATCAGTGCTAATTGGCTATCATAGCTAAACTGCACTTCCATTTAGTGCAAGATGCTGATGACATATCAGAAAATAGTCAGGATTAGACACAGGAAAATATGGGGGGAAATACTGTTTTCTTAAAGCTTCCCTTGGTAATACAATCTCTAAGGATGGGCGTCCCCTCCACTAGGTTCTGCTGGAAACATCCATTTGGCTACTCTTGGAAAGAGAACGCTGACCTTCATGGACTGGTCTAGCAAACAAGTGTACAATACTGTCTTTCAAACATTTATTATTGTTTGTCTTACTAATAGGCTCGCCTTTCTCCAATCAAAGGACTCAAGGCGGCTTACAGTATTAAAAAGAATAGAATTAAAAAGTTATTGTGGCATTTACCCTGTGGCCCCTGCTTGTTTCACCAAACACAGAGCTCATACAAGTATCCCAACACGCCCTTTAACATGCTGCCACCAGTTGATCTGTTTATCAACCTATATCTTCTATGAAAGACTGAGGTCCATTCAGTACTGAACTTTTAAACAAAAACAGGTTTATTGATTATAAATTGTTTTAGGACTAGTTCTTAAGCACAAAGTTACACAAAGCTTCAGTATTTTACTTTAACCTCTACGTACCTTCCCCCTTAATAAGTTTGTTCTCTGAGGGGAAACCCAGCAGTTTGCCCTCATAAACAAACAGCTAAGTACATGAAAATATAACAATAACTTACCAATATTTATGCATACCTTATAATACAATTTTTCTTTCTAATACTATGTTCACAAAATCAAAATTACAACTTTAAACATCCAAGACAATATAGTTAAAACATTTGCATTAATCACAATAAGGCTACTCACCATTATTTCCATCATTATACACCTCTCAGTTAATCAACATCCAAACAAACATTGCATTTCTATTACAGTGGTGCCCCGCATAGCGTTCTGAAAAAATCGTCGCTATCCGGATTCGTCGCTATGCGGGACTAAAAACCCCATAGGGACGTATTAAAACACGTTTAATGCGTTCCTATGGGGAAAAACTCACCGCTATAGGGAAAATCCTCCATTCTTCTTTGTGATCTTATTGCTCTGGCTTTCACTCTCACCCATAAACTTGCCCACAGGTGCTTTAGTTACAATAGGTGGGGAACCACTATCACGGGTCAAGACTTTCATAATCTGGTTCTGTCCTATTAATTGCCAGTTTCTCCTGTAGGGGTTTGCCTCGCAAGATTTTCAGTGCCTTTGCAGCTGCATGAGGAGCCTTCCCAGTGCTAGTCCCTTCAGCTTTCGAGTACTGTTGTGACACATTGACAGGTCCTGACCATGCTAACTGCAATTCACTTGCCTCTATGAGTCTCATCCCCACTTCATCCTCAGGACAGAACGCTCTTTCCTGGACTTTTTTATCACACCAGCCCCTCTGCTTTTCATGAGCACTCCTCCAGCTTGGCCATCTCTAAGGACTTTTGCAGACCTACGCGTTGGTAAGGGGTTGAGATCCCTGGCAATGAGCATAGCTTAGCCTTTGTCTTGTCCTCCCCGGTACCACTCATTTGGCACATATCACATGCCTGACAAAACTGCTTAATTTGCTGACCCATTTTTGTCTAATAAAATTTTGTGCAACCCTTTGTTTCATGCGCAATATCCCCATGTAAGTTCCAAAAGTATCACTGTATGCCTTGCTTAAGATCTTGCCTCTATATTTTTCAAGTACAATAAGTTGTTTAAGGTTTTCATCTCCATCCCTCTGAGGTGCTAACAAAATTTCCCTATATAACAGATTGTTATATATCTCTGGGTGTTCATGCATTAATGAAGAGGGAGTTCCCTTAGCTTTCTCAAAGCACTGTGTAAGGGTGGTATCCCCCTTCTGTTCCTTAACAAAAGATGAATTACTAGGGTTTTTCATAAATACAACTTCTGCCATGTCATCCACGTTAAGAGTTTTCTTTTAAATTGGGGCCTTCCAAGTTACTTTCAGAAGTTAGGGATTCCATTTTTCCCTCAGGAATTGTTAACTGTGCTCCCTGAGAATGTGTTACCATAAAAGCACTCTGCACATGCTTAGAGATATCTAAGCCAATTAAACAAGGTGCGGGTATTTGATCAGAAATTGCTACATCCCAAATTCCAACCCAGTCTCTATAGTTTACCTTTAGCCATAGATAAAATCACTGGAGTAGAACTTATTCCCTTGATTGTAACAGTTTGATTTGGAAGTATTTGCTCTTTAGGAACCACATCAGGATGACACAGGGTTATGTGGGAACAGGAATCAACAACCTCCACATAAGACTTCTCCTTAATAAGGATTTTCTCACCAGGGTTCTGTAGTAAAATATTACAGTGGTGCCTCGCTAGACGATGATAATCCGTTCCACTGAAATCGCTGTTTAGCGAAATTGTCTAGCAAAAAGCATTTCCCCATTGGAATGCATTGAAACCTGTTTAATGCGTTCCAATGGGGAAGAATCGTCGTTCTCTAGCAAAGATCGGCCATAGGAAAGCCGCTATGTGAACTGCCGATCAGTTATTTAAATAGCTGTCTTGCGAAGCTTAGGTCCCGAAAACATCCGTTTTGCTAGCACAGAGGGAGCTGTCAAAATAATTGTCTAGCGAAAATTGGTTTGCGAAGCAGGAACCAAACACTGTCCAGCGAAATTCCCCCATAGGAATCACTGTTTTGCAAATCGCTATAGCGATCGCAAAAAGTCAATGTCTAGCGAAAAAAACGTCATGCGGGGTAACTGTCTAGCGAGGCACCACTGTATCTGCCTTCATAAGAAAGCACTGAACGATTCTGGCTTGTGGTAGATCAGAATTTTCTGTTGTGCTAGTTGCCATGGAGACAGAACCATTGTTACAGCATCCTTCAGTGATTTCCACTGGTTTTATGCAGTAAACCTTTTTGGTCTGACTATCATCTTTTCCATTTTTATTTTTATTGTTCTTCATACAATTTGATTGAATATGCCCAAATGTGTCACAGTTACAACATTGTCTATAAGTCTTTCAATCATACTGAGGAGATCTGTCAAACGTTTTCTGAGAGTTCATTCGCTTTTGCGGACTAGGCCCTGGCAACTTAGGTGAGGTACTAAGCTGGCCATCTTTCCCTGACTTTTTACTGTTGTAATTTTTATTGAATAGTTTTGTACTGTTGTCCTGGTTCTGCCTGTAAAATTTTACCTCAAAAAACTTAGGATCTCTAATCTCACTAATGGAATCAGCATATTCAGCCTACTGGGTCTTTCAAATCCTGAGGTAAACAAAAAAGAGTTTTTCCTTTAGAGTCGGTTCCCTATCTTTAGTTTCCCCCCAGATCAGAAGCTCCACCACTAAACTTTTCCTCAAAAGCTATAGCAGGTCACCCACTTCTTTACCACAGACCTCTGACTAAAAAGTACCTACGACTCCGGAAAATTCACTGTTAAACATTGGCTTTACTGGATTATTTCATATCCCACCACTGAACACCAATTGTGGCATTTACTCTGTGGCCCCTGCTTGTTTCTCAATTTTAAAAGGACATTGTACTTTCTATGATAAATGTGGCTCATATTTAGCTTGTTTAAAGTTAGGGAATATGTGAGCCTCCCAACTGTTGCTGGACCTCCATCATTGCCTATGCTAGGTAAAGTTGATGTATTTTGTTATCTTAAGAACTGCTCTGGTGTAGCATGTAATAGGTGTGTTTGTGGTGATACTGTGCCACAGTAACTGCAGCCTAGAGATGTCATTCTGTTTTTACTCAATATCATACAGTTTTCTAGCTGCTGTGAATGCAGATATTGGTACACTTGGGTTAGGCAAAGCTGGCTGGATAACTCAGTGATTTAGGTATCTGGCTGTGCAGCAAGAGGTTGGGAATTCAATTCCCCACTGTGCCTTCTCTTAGTACGGCAAGCCTATGTGGTCTTGGGCGATCTGCACAGTTCCAGAATGGCAAACTTCTGAATATCCTCTATCTGGAAAACCTTGAAAAGGCTTGCTGGCAGAATTGACTCTATGGCACAATGAGGGTTAGGCACATGCCATGTGCGCATTGCCTGTTCTCTTTGCCAATATCAAATTGAGCTGTAGCCTAGCTGCCTGGTAGGAAAGGGAGTTGCCTTGTGCTTGCTGTTTTTCAATAAGAATTTGTTTAAAAGTCAACGTGCACTTTTTTCGGAGCCCCCCCACTCTTGCTTTATCCCTTTAACTCCAGTGCTGAACTGGAAATACTGACACAGCACTGCCTGTTATTTAAGAGTTAACCAGTGAAAATGGAAGATGGCTGGGGCTGCTGCTTATTAGTGCTGCGTGAAGCTGGGGCTCTGGATCGAATAACAGGGCCTTTTTGATAGCAAAATCATGTCTTGTCTTACGGATTTCTCTTACGACACATCAGATAGGTGTAGGCAATAGGGGGAGAAAAGGCAAGGACAGCCCAACCCCTTTGTGTGTAGGAGGCACCACCATCTCAGTCTGAGATTTCAAGGCCAGAATCTGAGATGGGGGTGCATGCTGGCCCTTGTAGTGTCACAGGGATGAGCCCATGTCATGTCACAAAAGCAGGGCAGGTTAATGTCAGGGCATGTGCAACAAAGTCTCATGAGTTGCCACGCTGCCCTCCCCCTCCTTGTTATGTGCTGTTATGGATGTGAGGGCTCTGAAACAGATCCTTATCAGTCGCTCCTAAGGTCGCCAGAACCAAAAAAGTGCCTATCGGTGGGAGCAAACAACAGACACCTTCCTTCCCAACACATGAATCTGCCTTGGGTCCTTTTAAGGAGAAAGGCAGGGTAAAAATATTCTAAAGAAATAAATACATTAAAGAAATCCTGGTGCCAGCTGTGAATGAGGGAATGGACGTTAGCCGACTCGTACACAAGAAAGCCAGGTTCAGCCTCCTCCAAACGCTGCTCATCCTAGAATTTGTCCTTCCACCTGCAGAAGCTGTTAAGACTTTCCTGGGACGTCCGTTCGTGTCCTGCGAGCCTACACTCGTGGTTGCCTTGAAATGAATACAACGGCGCTGATTCCTCTGCAACCGTGCACGGGGTTGCCGCTTGGAGTGCAGCAGAGGTTATCGCACCTGCACTGCAGCTACGCGCTGTGCTTCCGACGTGACCTGACATTTATTATCTCCCAAAACTAACCCATTCGAGCTCTTCGTATGCACTGCGGCCCTCTGCACCTCTTCCCAACGCGGGCGCTTTGTCTATTTTAAGGCGTCCGCTCTTCCTACACGCGTTCGCCGATCCACGCCCATCTTTTTTAGTCCCCTCGCGGCCTCCATCCCGCCTTTTCCAATCGTTTCAATGAGGCTCACCAGCGTTTTCGAGGCAACCTCTTCTCGGGGCGGGACTTACCTGCTTGCTTCGCTCCTCCACCAATAAGAATGCGACTTCTTTGGCCCTAGCGGCCAATAGCGGGAGGGGCGTCTTTTTTCCGCGCGCGGAAAGTGGGCCGAAGCCATTGTGCGCGTGCGGCCGCGGTGGCGCCGTTGCCAGGAGAAGTGGGCGTGGCCGGCTCTGCGCTTGCTGCTGCTGCTGCGAGAGGAGGAAAGATGGCGGAGGAGGAGAAGCTCCCCGCTGGCTGGGAGAAGCGAATGAGCCGCAGCTCTGGTACCGCTGCTGAGGGGAAAGGGGTCGGGCGGCTGGTTCTTGGGAGCGGGCGAGGCCCTGGGGAACGAGTGGCACGTCCGCGTCCGGCCTAGGAAGACGAGAGGGAGCCTTCATAGCTGATTTGGGGGGTGGGGTCCGTGAGGCCTTTTCGCCAG